TCTGGTATCACCACCGTGAAGAACCCTATTTCCCTTGCCCATCTCGTCATGGAAAAGTCTCCCTATTCTTATCTTGCATTCTCTAGAGCCGAAGAATATGCTAAACAACAGGATTGTGGTGTCGAATAGAGGTTTCGATGAAGAACAGAGGCATTGATGCAGATCTGTTTAAGGACTTGGGCTAATTCTAGTGGGCTTCTATTGTCTTGGGTTAGCTTTGCAATTAAATCTTTTGGGCTGTATGTTACTTGAGGGTGTTTATTTGAAGTGGGCTTATTTTTTTATTTTTTTGTTGTGTGGGCTGATTTTGGAGTGGGTTGAATTTAGGTGGAAATTTGTTTGGCTTGGATCTGATTCGATTGGGACTTCATGTGGATTGTGTCTATTAGTTTTAAGCTTAGTGGGTTTACATATAAATTAAAGATTGTTGGGCTTCAAAGTTTTATAAGGCCTACTATCATTTGGGGTTATTGGCTTTAAGTGATTGGGTTGTAAACTGTGGAAGCATGGGAACTTAAGGAGTTGATGTCTGCTAGTTTTGAATTGTGTGGAAAATTCTCTAATATGTAGCTCATGATTTTCACAAAGGCGCTGCTAAAAAACAAGGCTTTTCGTTTTTTGATTGAAGAGACAGAGACATAGGAGTGCAGAGGATTGAGTTCTTTGGTTGCTCGGATAATGAGCTAAAGTTTTGGATTCTTGGTGGAGGATTATCTTTGAAGTTTTTAGTATTGGCTGTTTTGTGGAATTTCTTTGAACTACAGCACCTTGGCCAGCAATATATTGCTGAAATTTTGGCTAGTGTATTGGCGTTAGAACTTTTGTCGGAGCATGAATTATGTGTTCAATCGAGTTTTCCCGACAAATAGAGCTCATTGTGTATCGGCACACTTCATGAATTTCTTTTGGAAATTTTTCTTAGGGTATGAGCTTTTTGGAGTGGTTTTGGAGTAGTTCTTAATTATTTCTACACTATTTGTTATTCTTGGTTTCTAGTCGTTACTAATTTTTGTAGATGGTTGCTCTGATTTGGGCTTCTTCTTCGTGGGCACAAGTATTGTCGTTGTCATCAGTTCATGATTGCAAATTGATACTTTTACCAACATCAATTTGAGGGTGATGTCAATGAGATTGAATAAGATTATAGAGATTTTCAAAGATTACGACTTGAAGTCTATTTTATCATTATAATTATATTATATATAGATAGATTATTTTTACCATATTTAAATTATAAGTTACTATTATTTAATATTGTAATAGATGCTACAATATTTAGTGGTGATTTTGATCCTATATAATGAGAGAATCTCTCACTTTGAGAGGCATCGATTCTTATTGTCTGACCTCTCCTATGTTCATACATTTATCTTTTGCTATTCAATAAATTATGCCACCATGCGTGGATTTAATTTTTAAGAAAAATAAAAGATGACGCCTGAATACTGATACGATTTCGGCACAATAATAGTGATTCTTCAATGAAAATAATATTTTGAAACTTCTTGAATATATTTATTTTATGTTTTGTAAAGTAAATATGAGTTTTTGTCTCTTTCAAGAAAATATTGGTGGTGTTTCAAATAAGGAAATAATATTATGTTTTTATTTACTTAAAAAATGATAATAATTTTTTAGACCAACATAGAGATATCTAAATATTGTACTTCCTTAACATTTTTTAAGATTACTAAGGTTGAAATGTGAATTTCAAATGTTGATGAAATCTTTAAATATAGAATTTATGATTGATTTGATCGAAGTTCTGGTTGTTAAAAAGATATATATATATATATATATATATATATATTATTTTAAACTTTTAGATAAAATAATCTAACATTGTATTTCCGTAACTAAAATTTTCAATTTACGTCTCTCTTTGCTTATTTATAAAATTTGTTCGTGTATAAGATCTTCAGTGAACTATAAATTTACTTGCACATTGGTGGCGGATAATCTACTTTTGTGGCTGTTGGATAAGTAAAGCCACTATTTTTTACCACAAAAGGATAACTTTGCAATTTCTTAATTGTTAAGCTAAGTACATGCATGCAATGGAACTTGACAAATTCAAGTTTTCTTTCTCCAACAAGTGGCAGCCGAAATGCTTGAAAAATTCCAACCACTTGACAGGCCAAATGTGTAGAGAATTCTAGCAAATGAAGGTGGTAGAACTTTGAGTCTTTGAAGCAGTTAAAGGTGGTAAAACTTCTAGCAATATCCAACCCACTTACAGCCAAGTTTAGCCATTATTTTTGACAATTGAAGGCGGTTCCTACAAATGACCAGCCAAGTTGCAGATAATTTTCTTGAATTTTCAAACAATTATGGTGACCAAAAATCTTTATAAATATGGGTAAGACTTTGAGAGAAAAGTGTGTGGTATGGAGAAGAAAAATTGAGAGGAATTAAAAGTAGAGAGTAGAGGGAAAATTGTGAGTGGAACGATAAAATTATAGAGAGAAAATTGTGAGTTTTTCTCCCAAGTATTTCCTACTTGTTTTCTCTTATTACAAGAGAGACTAATTATTGTTATTGTGTTGTAATTCTCCTACTATAATGAAATCTTCATATACTTGCACGTAGACATAGTCTAAATTAGGTGAACCACGTAAATACTTATGTCTATTTTAGCTGCATTTTCTCAATTCTATTATTTGTCACCCAAACTCGACCCACATTTTTCCTAATAGTGGGTACAAAGGTTTCCATGGTATTGACTTTTATAATGGCTTAATAGCACAAAACATTCCTGTGTTTATCTATAGTATGCAATATGTCCCCACATTTCAATTTTTTGCATTTTCACCCCAATTTTCATGTTTCATTGCGAAAAACATTATTTTTACCAATTTTTAATGTAAAATGACCAATATACCCTCCTATTTAAATAAAACAAAAATAAAAGAAAATAAAGATGAAATTGCAACTACAGGCCCAAATTTTTCAAAAGGCTTAATAGCACAAAATGTCCTTACTTTTTTCTCACACCCTATCCCACCCCATGCCAACCTAACCCAACCCAGCCCAACCCAATCCACTCATTCTTTTGAAGATTCAAGGAACTGTCGGACTCTATCTCATCAACTTTCACCTAATTGCCACCTAAAACACTAGAACTCATATTACAAATAGCTGTCATCAACACCCAAACACTTTCTTATAAACAAATTGAACAAACAACAAATTTATATGGTTAAATCAACAAAAAATGCAGCTTATCGCATGAGCAACACGCTGCCTTTTTTCGTCAATTTCGACACAGGTAATGGTTCCCACTGTCGCGAACCATCCATTCCGACTTCGCCACATCTTGCCACACTGCTACAACAATAGGTTACCATCAATTTCATCTATTATGCCCCAGAATATGTGCCCATTTATTGCCCAATAAGAAATTGAAAGATGTTGCTATAGATTTTGATTTTGTGCACCTGTTCAAGTTTTAAGTCCATGAAGAGAGGTGCTTTAATGAATATAGTTGACTGGTATGTTGGAAATGAGATGGGTCTTGTCGGAACAGGTGGTACCGCCAGTATTTACATTCACGAGTTGGGTATTTTGGCTTGCAATTCTGACAAAATCTATTGGCATGAAGGTTGGATGTTGGGTGGTATGTGTAGAGGGGAGTGAGACCTTTCTAGTGGTATGGAGTTCCAGTGGTTTAGGCGATGGTCAGTTGACATTTTTTGGTTTCTAAGGTGGTGACCCCATTCAAATTTTAGGGCTTAGTGATGGTTTTTTCAAATTTGTTCCTTTAATTGTACTCCTTCACCGGTAAAATATGTCGTAGAAATGACAATGGAGAATTGAAATTTCGAGGATTTTGGCAGCGATGGCGGTGGTAAAGGAGGTGGAGGAAAAGAAAAGAAGAGAAAAAGAATTTTATTTTTTTTTCCAAAATTTTTTATTTGGACTCATTTATACTTTTTAAAAAGTTGAGGAGCAAGATTACAATTTGTTCTTTATTTGTCGTTTCTTCTCTTTTTGGTTTTATTTAAATATGAGGGTATATTGGTCATTTACATTAAAAATTGTGAAAATGATGTTCTGCAATGAAACGTGAAAATAAGTGTGTAATGCAAAAAATTGAAACGTACGGACGTTTTGCATACTACAAGCGAAACATAAGAATGATTTGTGCTATAAAGCCTTTCATAATTTCTTTATGACTTTGGTAGAGGGCCTAGAGGTGTAATTGGTCTAGTCTTCAATCTGTTCACATCTAAAATCAAACGACAAAATCAGACATCATAGGCCTACAAATATAGATAAATCACACCTTTGGTCTTGAACCATTTTTCGAATCTTGAACAAAATTTACAAGCACCAAAATATCCATTTATGCTGCACCAAAATCAAGTCAAGGAAGAATCTATTTTGCAAATCTATAAACATAATTTTTCACTACACATGCCAACGAGTTGGTCAAGTTTTTTTCTTCTTGATCTTGCTATTAAATAAAAAATTTGTTGGAGTCATCTAGTGGGATTAAGCTCTTGTTTGACAACCTTTAAAGCAAACGCTTTTTTTCTTAAACTAAATTTTTAAAATAAAATATTCGGTACATAAATCTAAATTTTTTCCTACTTTTGATTATATATTCCTCAAAAAATCACTATTCAAAACCTTGCTTTCTCCAAAATACTCATTTTAATGATTGTTAAACGGGGGCTAATATTGCGACACTAATGAAAGGTTGAGGAAATATTTGCTCCTATTCATAGGCTGGTGACTAACATGCAACTAACACAATAGATTGGGGCTGCTAACTTACAACTTTCACAATAGGTTGGAAAGGAAGGGAGAAATTTTTGAATTTTTCCACAAGTATATATAGGACGCAAGTCACTCATATTTTATTAGAATTAATTGTAGGCATTGTATGTAATTGCACAATAGCTTCTTTTCTTTTCAATTCATTAGTCGGCCAGCTGTGTTTTCTTTCTTTCATTTTTGGTGCCAAGCTCCATTCATTTTCAATTGATTGAACGATCAACAGAGTTTCAATTCATTTTCTCTCTGTAAATTGAATATGGTATCAGAGCAAAATCATTTCCACGCTCTTCTCTCATCATCACAGATTTAATCTGTTGCTGGATCTCGTCTTCATATATATATATATATATATATAAATTAATCTGTTGTTCGATCTAATCTCTACATAGAGTTATTACAATCCGGAAATTGGTTTGATTCAAGGTCATCAATGAACAATCGGCCATTGATGAACCTTCAAGTCCTTACTCCTTACTTCATTCAATGAGTAATTTCCAGATCTCCTCCAGATCTGCACCGAATGAAGATAAAATGCTTAATTCACAACAACCTGTGATTGGAAGTTTAATTCAGAGTTTGAATCCTGCTCAATATCAACAATTGATGACGATATTGTCCACTCATCTGGCATCAAGCTCAAACACAGCAGCTTCTGATTATCAGGGCAACAAAATTACATCATATAATGCAGGTCTATGCCATTTCATATCCGTTAATCCAGTCTTGTATTCCAAAGAAATTTGGATAGTGTATTCGGGAGCCACTAAGCATGTGTGTTTTATTGCTGCCTCATTCATGAACATGAGGATTATTGATGGTTCAAATGTGACTTTACCCAATCACACACAAATTCTAGTTAGATTGTGTGGGAATATCAGGCTGAGTCCAAATATTTTGCTGCATGATGTGTTATTTGTACCACAATTCAAGCTAAACTTACTGTCAGTTAGTCCGTTAACTGCTGAATTACAAGTTTCATCAAGTTTCTCTCATGATAGCTTCATTATTCAAGATGCCAAAACCAAGAAGATGACTGGTAGGGGTGGTCAAATGCAAAATTTGTATGTTCTAGATACCAGAATTCTGAATTCCATTTCTAATGTATTTGTTAATACTATGTCTATCCATGTATGGCACAACAGACTTAGGCATCTTTCATTCAAAAGGCTAGACTGGTTGAAGGAACAATTATTGTGTGATGTTACAAAATTTCGGAGACATATGCCTTGTTATGTTTGTCCACTTGCTAAACAGTGGAGATTGCCTTTTGAATCGAATAATAGACTGTCAAATAATCCCTTTGATCTCATTTATTGTGATGTGTGGGGACCTTACCATGTTACTTCACACTCAGGATACAATTATTTCTTGATATTGGTGGATGATTGTTCAAGGTTTACATGGGTCTATTTGTTGAAGCACAAATCAGATACCAAGATTGTTATTTCCAGATTTTTCAACATGATTGATACCCAATTCAATGCTAAAATAAAGACATTCAGATTTGACAATGCTTATGAATTAGCCTTTATAGTTTATTTTGCTGAAAATGGAATAATGCATCAGTTTTGTTGTGTGGAAAGACCACAACCCACACAACAAAACTCCGTCGTTGAGCGCAAACATCAACATTTGTTAAATGTGGCTAGGTCTCTGTACTTCTAATGACGAATCCCCATCAGTTTCTGGTCTAAATGTGTTTTGACAGCCACATTCTTGATAAATAGAACTCCATCTTCTGTGTTGAAGCACAAAATGCCAAATGAAGTTCTATATGGAAGACCTGCAGATGATTCCTCACTTAGAGTTTTTAGATGTCTAGCTTTTGCATCCACTCTAACTACGCAAAGAAACAAATTCCAGCCACGAGCTAGGCTATGTGTGTTCTTGGGATATCCATCTAGAGTTAAAGGTTACAAACTCTATGATGTTGAGTCAAAACATTTCTTTGTATCACGTGATGTTGTGTTTCAAGAAAAAATCTTTCCTTTTCATACAGTTATGGCAAATGATCAACTGATAGATCCGTTCCCTGACTTAGTCTTACCAAATCCTTTTTTACACCTTCATCAAGACTCACATGCATCCTCAACTCAGTATAACTTACCGCCTATTCCTTCAGCTAAAAGTCATAATTTGCATCAAGAGTTATTCCCTACTTCACCATCCCTTGATACAATGTCTGCACCTGATAGTCCTGATAAAAATGGTATTCCACATACTAACATTAGTCACACATGTCAACGTACTACTGTCACTAATTTGAGACGTTCACAAAGAGTTGCTAGACCACCACAATACCTTAGAGATTTTCATTGCAACTCCTTTCTCAACAAGATCAACTCCCATCTTCATTCACTCAATCATATTAGCCAATTTATTTCCTATAATCATTTATCCCAAAACCACCGGCAATTTGTATTGAACGTATACTCTCAATTTGAGCCTCAACTCTTTCACCAGGTGGTTAAATATCCACAATGGCGTGAAGCCATGAAAGCTGAATTGGAGGCTATGGAAGCCAATCACACTTGGTCAGTAGTTCCTTTACCAGTTGGTAAACATGTTGTTGGATGCAGGTGGATCTTCAGGGTAAAACATAATTCTGATGGGTCTATTAAAAGGCACAAAGCAAGTCTTATAGCTAAAGGTTATACACAAAAAGAGGGCCTTGAGTACTTTGACACTTTTTTCCCAGTAGCAAAGATTGTCACTGTCAAAGTATTGTTAGCTCTTGCAGCCTCTCAATGGTGGCACTTGTTCCAAATGGATGTATAATGCCTTCTTGAACAGTGATACGTTCGATAAAGTTTACATGGATCTCCTGCCTAGTTATGAGGTTCTCAATGCTGTCAAACAAGGGGAGAAACTGGTTTGCAAATTGCAAAAGTTAATTTATGGCCTCAAGCAAGCGTCAAGGCAGTGGAATTCTAAATTCACCCAAGCACTGGTCCATTGTGGTTTTAATCAATCAAAGGCTGATTATTCCCTATTCACTAAAGGTTCTGGGAATGACTTTGTGGCATTTCTTGTATATATAGATGACATTGTCACCACTGGACCAAACATTCAAGTCATTGATTCTTTAAAGAAGTTCTTAAATTCTCAGTTCAAACTCAAGGATTTAGGGAAGTTGAAGTACTTCTTGGGCATAGAAGTGGCTCGTTCTAACTCTGAGATTGTCATATCACAAAGAAATTATGCCATAGATTTGCTTGAGGATTCAGGTTACCTGGACTGCAAATTAACAAATACTCCTATGGATCCAAAGGTTTCCTTAAGTATTCATGACGGAGACCTTCTGCCCGATGCATTTTCTTATCGCAGGTTGATTGGAAAACGGATTTACCTGACAATATCACGACCAGATATTACTTTTGTTGTCTACAAACTGAGCCAATTTTTGTCATAGCCTCCACTATCTCATCTCAAGGTAGCTCACCATCTTCTTCGATATTTAAAGGGTAGTCCAGGTCTGGGACTATTCTTTCTGTTCACGAAATATTTTCTTTCGATTTAAATCACCACAAGTGTACGGTTATTCAACAAGTAATAAAGTGGATTAATTGAGTCCGAATATCATCCCACAGAGATTGATTAGTTTAATTTTACCTAACTTGGCCTTAACCGAAATTGATTTGTCAAACGTGAATTGTAGTAACTTAAATTAACCTTACTTGGACTAAATATGCAAATATGTATGATTTGAATGAACTAAAATGCAAAGTGAATGTGTTGATTGCAAGTTGGTGTACTCAATCAATGAATATAAAAGCGTACTAGGCTCATGAATCCCCAAGCAATGCTCAATTTAACCTTAATTCAACACTTTGACAACACGATGACATTTTGAAGAATCAATATTCCTAAATCTATCCAACACTCTCTTTCGAGATGAATTGAACCTATTCTCATACACCACCAGCCTATATCTCTATGACGGATGCAAATATATGAGAATGCATGTAGTTTTGTGAATACTTAGAGATTCACACAAAGCATAGGGGTATATTTCTATCCCCCTATCAAATCCTACGATGATTTATACCTTATCGAATTTATTCCTCTTCTTTCGAGTAGATGAAACAAACCACTAAAACTCACACAATTACGAGCCCATAATCATGGAAGCAATTAAATGCATATAAATCATTCAAAACAATCAATACGTGTTTTAGTGTCAAAATATGGAACAAAGAATTAAATATCACATTATAAGATTCACTGATCTCCTAGTATAGATTTTTCTAGCCTAACATGACGGGAAGAAAAACATAACAACAAGAATCAAGAAAAGAGATCACCCAATCGCCCTTTGATTTGAAATCTTGAATCTTGAATCTTGGAATGAATCCTCTCGTTCTTGCCTTCTTTTTGCTCTTCAAATCCTCCCAAAATAATGTATAATACGTGGTGTCTGTTTTTGGACGTTCCTAGTGCTTTAAAAGACTCCCAAGATTTGTTTCCATAAGAGTTTTAATCAGAAAATGAAACCAGAAAATTTTCGACGCGATTGGCCTGGGCAACATTTTCTTCTCGGTAATAAGAAAAACATATGGGGCGATCACCCGATTTTTATAACTGGGCTGTCGCACAGGCAAAATTTCTTCCATATGTTGCATTTTAGCCCTCGAAATCGATTTTTGATTCTTTTAGGCCCTTTCTCTTGCAATTTCAACTCTTTGACTTTCATTTGCATCCAATTGAACCCGCAACATCTTTAATCTTCATTTTGTGATCCGAATCAACTATTAAAATGTTGCAATTTAGTCCTCATACTTTGAATTTTCTTCCTTTTTGGCTCTTTTTCATTTCTTTTCTCTTGAATTTCATCACATTCATCAATATAGTCCTACAAAACATAATTACATAGAATTAAGTCATAATTCAAACTCTTTGATCATAATTAAGTCATGTTTATGAACTAAATAAGTGTGTAAAAACACACTTATCACTTTCCTTCATCATCTGACCCACATTCACTTCTCAAGCTTTAGGCCTTTTCAGATGCAGGCTGGGGAACTTGTCTTGACACAAGAAAATCAACTACTAGTTTTTGTATTTTCCTTGGAGACTCGTTAATATCTTGGAAAGCTAAGGCGACGGTCCACTGTTTCTCGATCTTCAGCTGAAGCAGAATATAGGGCTCTAGCTACCACCATCAGTAAAGTCATCTGGATCAACCAATTGCTCAAGGATTTTCAGACATGCGCTATCTCTCCAGGTGCCTTATTTTGTGATAACCAAGCTGCCATTCAAATAGCCACAAATCCAATTTTTCATGAACGAACAAAACACATCAAATTTGAATTTTCTTCCTTTTTGGCTCTTTTTCATTTCTTTTCTCTTGAATTTCATCACATTCATCAATATAGTCCTACAAAACATAATTACATAGAATTAAGTCATAATTCAAACTCTTTGATCATAATTAAGTCATGTTTATGAACTAAATAAGTGTGTAAAAACACACTTATCACTTTCCTTCATCATCTGACCCACATTCACTTCTCAAGCTTTGGGCCTTTTTAGATGCAGGCTAGGGAACTTGTCTTGACACAAGAAAATCAACTACTAGTTTTTGCATTTTCCTTGGAGACTCTTTAATATCTTGGAAAGCTAAGCGACGGTCCACTGTTTCTCGATCTTCAGCTGAAGCAGAATATAGGGCTCTAGCTACCACCATCAGTA